ATACTATAGGTTTAAAATGTATTTACAGCTTGTTGAAATCACAACCTATTATCAAAATTATTCTATAGTTATTATAGTTTTATATATTATTATATTTTTATAGTCAGCTTGTTTACTGGCTCCTTTAAATGTAATGGGTTTAAACCACAATAACTAAAATATTTAAACTTTATTTTTTCATTCAATCTAATGTGTCTTATCAGTGGAAGGCTCAGGAACAGAAAGCTGCATGGCTCTAATAAGAGATCGAATATTACTGTACACATTTAAATAATGTTCATGAAATAAATCTGTACTGAGTGGTGTTTATTTTACAGATTTACGGGAATGCCAGAATACAAAAAGTGTTAGATCCCCGGGCCTATAGACCTATATACAGACGAACAACAGCAGCTTTGGGTTCCTCAGTTGTCTCTCAAAAGGAATGCTTAAAGGTCCCATGTAGAACCTTATCACAGATGGATGGAAGTAGAACCCTTTTATAAAGCTAAAAGACTAGAAGTGCTGAGTCGGTGGTGTATTTTACGGCTGTACAGACGGATGTACAGACAGCGTGACATTAAGATCTCTCAGCTGATCTTCAGACGAATCTCAGGCGTCTTCTGTGTCACATGGGACCTTCACGGATAAGACTCAACACTCTGCATCTCTTCTGCATTACTGTCAGTAGAAAGGGTTCAATTTCAGGTTTCCAAAAAAGAAGAAGTTAAAGAGAAATGTGTGTCTGTGGTTAAAGGAAGTGAGATGTTCCATAATGGAGAAATTCTCAGAAAAAAAACCCATAAATGCACCAAAGGCTTTTCAGAAACTCCAGAAAAACCATGTCAGGAAAAACTTACCGCTGATTTCTTTATAAAACTGGACAACAGTGAACCTGAGAGAGCTCACACAGCTTTAAAGGCAAAAAGGCAGAAGAAACACACTGATTTATTCCAGTTTATCAGTTTAATCATCTTTATAATCACTTTATTACGTGGAGAAATGTTTAGTTTCATTTCTAACATCTTTTTCACAGTACTCTATATAATGAGACTGATACAGACAGACAGACAGATGGAGAGAAAGATAGACAGAAAGACAGGCAGACAGAGAAACTGAGGAAAAGACAGATGGAATAAAAAAAGAAAAGATCAGATGGAGACACAGACCTAACGACAGAAAGACAGGTGCAAACAAAGACACTGAGAAAGACAGGCAGAGAAAAAGACAGAGAGAATGACAGAAAAACAGGTTGAAAGACAGACAGAATGATAGAAAGACATAAAAATGATACATGGAAAGACAGATGGACAGGCAGACAGAAAGAAGGAGGGATAGACAGGCAGACAGAAAGATGGAGGGATAGACAGATAGACAGGCAGACAGAAAGAAGGAGGGATAGACAGACAGACAGACAGACAGACAGGTATAAATGCAGTGTAAGTTCAGTAATGAATGTACACATTAATGTTCCTACATCAGACTTTATTGTGATTGTTAGTTCCACACACACACACAGATACACACATACACATACATGTATAAAATGATGTGTAGTTTATATATGTTTATAAAGGCACATACACACTCTATAAGGCCATAATGATTGTACTTCCTGTCTAACATGACTCACTATGGGGGTACAAGCTGATATAAATGTAGAATAAACTCTGTGTAGAAATCTGCCACAGGTTTTAACACACACACACACACTAATGCAGCTCACACACACACACTAATGCAGCTCACGCACACGTCAGGCTGGAGGAGCACCAGTGTGAGTATGACTGTGCGTCGGTGTGCGTCGGTGTGTGTGTCGGTGTGTGTGTCGGTGTGTGTGTCCTCTTAATCACTTCCTCCACACAGCTTCAGCAGCAGCTTCTTGTAGTCACCAGATGTGTCGCTCTGCAAACACACACACCACATTAATAGTCCACACACTTAAAAACAGTATATATGTGTGTGTGTGTGTGTGAATGTGTGTGAGTGTGTGTGTACTCACTGAGATGTCGTTGTAAAGGGATTTGCCATAGTTGCGCAGATATTCCTGTCTAATGTCCAACATGTCGATCTCAGAGCGACTCACCATGATGCGGATCAGAGTACGATCCTTAGTGCCCGCCCCCTACAGACAGACAGACGTACAGAATGACACAGAGAAATGGAAATAAAGACAAGTGAGAGAAAGATGGATGACAAACGAATGGGCAAATGGAAAGACAGACAGGCAGATAGATGGAAAGACAGATGCAAAGACAGATGAACAGAGAGATGGAAAGACAGACAGGCAGATAGACAGACAGATGGATGGATGGAAAGACAGATGCAAAGACAGATGGACAGAAAGATGGAAACACAGACGTAAAGACAGCCAAAGAGAAAGACAAAATGAAAGAAAAACAGATGGAAAGAGACGGACGGAACAACAAAGACAGAAGGAGGGACAGACAAAAAGTTGGAAAGACAGACAGACAGACAGAAAGACAGATGAAGATAAAATAGATGAAGATAAAAACAGACAGAATGACAGACAAACAGTCAGAAAGACAAACAGACAGAAATACAGACAGACAGATGGACAGATGGTTTGAAAGACAGACAGACAAGGAGACAGACAGAGAGACAGACAGAGAGACAGACAGAAATGTAGACAGACAGGTTGTGCAATGTGCCTGTACTCTACAGTGATGTCAGACCACTGAGCTGAAGCGGGAGTCCAGCCTCCGCAGCTAATGTGGATTAATAACGTAGTAACATTAAGCTGGTAATTAACACACACAGATATAACAACAGCATTTTTTTAAATGTGCTTTAATTATCTAAATTGTTCTTGAGCAGGTTGGTGGTGCTGGGATTTGAACTCACAACCTTCTGATCATTAGCCAAAAGCTTTAATCACTAAAGCACTACACACCAGCGGCAGTGACAGAATTCCCTGATTACAGCCTCCTAGTCCCGGATATGCTGCTCATGATCCTGCAGGTCTCTCAGACCTCTGCACTGAGCTGTTGTTTAAACCCCATCAGCTAACGTCAAAGCCTACCAAGATACGTTCAAGAAGAACTGCCAAAGAGCATGAGATGGAACAAGTATGACTGGTAGAAACTTCTGGCACCGTATTTGACATATAAACCCAAAACCTCTTGCTGGTAAGAACAAGCCACCCCCTTCATGTCCTGGCTGATGAGAGACGTGTGTGAGAAGCAGATGCCTTGGTCAGTGTTGGTGTTCCAGCACCATTCTGTATTGTTTGTTGTTCAGGAGCTGCCCCAGGCCTTCTCCAGGTTCAGGCAGTAATTCCATGGACCACCAGACAGGCTCTCCGGCTCCTGGTCATCGAGCATGCAAAACATGCTCCTTATTTTAAACACCATCTGCAAGTTCCTCATGACCCTACGGGAAGAAGCTAGGCTCTGTAACCTAAGAATGTCTTCTCAATGTACAGGATTAGAGGTCGACCGATTGATCGGTTTTGCCGATTAATTGGCACCGATAACCGAACTATCGCTGGAACTATTGCTGGAACTATCCATCCACGCCGATAGATTTTCCCGGTCGCGTCCGTTGCGGGAGCGGCTGAGAAGAGTCCGCTGTCATTATACAGCAAGAGAGCGGCCTCTAGAGGCGAAATAAAAACAATCACTGACGCCTTGTGGTGTTTGCTTTGACACGAGAGACTACACTCTGCACTCTGCACAGAGCGAGATACTTCAGACACTTCAGATGCAGACTTAAAACATCGACAAAGAAAACTTATGTATATTAACGCTGTAAAAAGATATCTCATATTGTTAGTTCATGTAAGCTAATGCAGTAACTAATGCTAACAAATGGGACTTTATTGTAAAGTGTTTCCTATGAAATTTACACTGACATTTATAGCTAAAAAAGACACATTTGACCTGTAATATTTTTAATATTTGGCAGTTTGGATGTATATCTTATCTTTACCTTAATATTTATTAATCGTTTTATATATATATTTAAGTATAAATGTACTGTACTTTTTTTTAACGAAATGAATATATATTCATTTTGTTAAAAAAAGTACAGTACATTTTCATGGTACTGTTTATCTTTGTAATATAAAGTTCAGCAACATTTTAATTTGAGTGTTATGGTTTCATTCAATTTTATAAACTATCAGTTGATTAATCGGTTATCGGCAGGTACTGCCCAACTTAGTTATCGGTATCGGGAAAATCCACTATCGGTCAACCTCCAGTACAGGAAATCCTGATTCAGAACGCAAGTGGCAGGAACTATGGAGCTGAAACTTTACTAATGCATTGCAACAATGCGTCAGGACAACACTGGCTTGGACTTTCAGGAGAACCTTGAAGATTCCTGATGGGGGTGATGGTGTTGGTCCGGTGACTGGATCAGTAGCTCGTTACTACATCACCACCGAACTAACCAATGTAAATCAAGAGAACTGGAGAAGCTGTGGCTCAACACTTTGGCCTACTGATCGGAAGGTCATGAGTTCAAATCCCAGTACTTGCAAAATGCCATGGTTGGATCCTTGAGCAAGACACTAATCCTTGACTGCACACTGGTATCCTGTCTCAACTATAATTTTTTTTAATCTGTACCTGCAGTAATTTGGAAAAGTAAATTAAATGGTCTCTTCTCAAACAGTTCATCCCCTTCGTGGTTTAAAATTAAACAAGCCAGCTAAGAAATCCTCATAAAGAGATTATGAAGTAGAAGGGAGACACGTAGGACAATAAATGTAATAAATCGCCGAGAACGTTGTTCTCTACCTTCATAGCCTTGTGGAGTCTCTCAGCGAAGAAGCCAGGCGTGTTCTTGATACACTTCACTAAAAAACAACACACACACACACACACACACACACACACACACACACATAGAGAAGACAAATAAAACTCCAGCACAGTCATGTGACAAACACACCCTGCTTCCAAAAATGTTCCTTATGTCCTACTCCCTACAAATGACACAGTGCATTATGGGCATTCTACATCATTAGACACACACAAACACACCCAACAAAAGTGTGGCACAAACCATTTGAATTGCTAATTAGTTATATTTGAATATGCAAATGAGGGACACACCCACTGCCAGCATGCCATTCTCCAGATCTCCGTGCATCTCACTGCAGATGCTCTTCTCAATATCCTTCCCACACATCTGCTGGTACTCATGAAACACTACACACACACACACACACACACAAAAGAATTATCCGAATGAAATAAATATTTATAACACACTGCGCTGTGCAGTATTATATTACAAGTATACTGCACATTATTGTGCAGTGTTGTGTAAGATTGTGTATTATTGTATAGTATTATGTAGCTACAGCATGTTGTGTGTGTTGTGTAGTATTGTACGTTACTGCATGTATTGTGTAGTGTTGTGTTGTGTGTACCTTGTCGCAGGTGTGGTTTGCTGCGTGCACACAGAATGGCATTGAACTGAGACTCATCCGTCCCGAGTTTCTTCTCTCCTGCAGTGTAGAGTGCCTAAAATGCACACACACACACACACACACACACATACACACACATGCTTAAAGGACTGGCCTCATAATATGATGAATATGATATAATGAATGTACATTCACTTTATTAGGAACACTGTACTAATACTGAGTAGAACCCACTCTGCTCTGAGAACAGTCTCAGTTCTTCAGGACATGAGCTCCACACAGTGCAGGAAACACTCCTGAGACACTCAGCTCCATGTCGACATCATTACTGCAAATTTATCAGCTGCACACTCGTGCTGTGAATCCCGTTAACCCACATTCCAAAGGTGATCTACTGGGTTCAGATCCGGTGTCTACTGAGAACCCTGAACTCACTGTCATGCTCATGGAACCAGTTTGAGATGATTTATGCTTTGTGACATGGAGCATTATCAGTCTGGAAGTATTATTTTCCTGTAACAGCATGTCTTCAAGTGCTTTATTCCTCTTATCCCACAGCAATTTACCAACAATGCTGTTAATTTATCAAACAATGACATGTCATACTTTTTATCCACTTATAGTTACATTTAATATTGTGGAACGTCGGTGAAAAGAGTTAGTTCCTGTTCTCATTTACGTTACAGCGTAACGTCCTGAAGATGTCAGAAAACTGAAAGTTACAGCTTTACTTCTGACTGTTACAAAGCATTGACACTGGAGACTCCTTCCATAAAGGTTAAATAAACATCTCCTCACTTTAAGAAAACTTCATCATATCAACGATTTTCTAAAATCCATTTATTATCAGTGGAGTGTCCGCTGTACATGTCGCTGTGAATGAGCTGTTACTATAGAAACGACAACGTATCAGAACAAGCACATTAATATAAACCTGTGTTACTATAGAAACGACAACGTATCAGAACAAGCACATTAATATAAACCTGTGTTACTATAGAAACGACAACGTATCAGAACAAGCACATTAATATAAACCTGTGATTTGCAGCTGCACTACTGTCAGAGCTGCTGTTATAGAAAATTAATCAACAACAGGAGGTTTTGTCTCACCTGAGCATCCTGCTTGGCCAAAGAAACGTCCACGGTCTCTCTCTCATCACGGTTCCCCTAAA